TATAAAAAACATGATTAAAATATTTGGAAAAAGTGTAGGCTGTAGTTTTTTTTACAATGTTTTACTCGTCACACTAAGGAGTATAATATTATTAGTCTTTGTTTATTTAGTTAAATTATTTATACTCGTATTTCCTTTAACTGCTAGTAATTTCGATTAAATAATATTTTAATACATGATAATTCATACGAGACAGTATACGCTAAAAAAGAAACGAATACCATTTAAAATTCTTAAAAGAGGCATTTGTGAAACAAAGCCGAGAACAGACTAGATAGTGTCTTTTTAATTGCCTTTGAAGCTTTGAGAACGGTCGAGCGCACTCCACTCGGAAGTACTATTTCACTACTGCATTCGCTACCGAAAATATTTTCGCGATGTATGCATTTTATGAAGTTGCCTTTAGAGAATGTACATCAGTTTTACTAGCCATTAATAAACATCATGGTTTGTCAACTTGATATTATAAGTTAGAAAAAGAAAATAAAAAAAATTGAGACACATTGTTCAAACCTTAACTTGTTAAATATTATTTTTATGTTTCAATGTCTTCAAACATGAAGTTAGTGATATTGAAACTTCATACACTTACAAAGACTGTAAATGAAAGAAATCTGACAAAATAAAAATACTTTTGAGAAAAAAATGAGAAATATCTGACAGAAGTCTAAACAAGGCTAACTCAATTAGGACGTTCATTACGTTTTTAAACTCGTCAAAGGAATTTTTTTCATAAGGAAAAAGTGATAATTGAAAAGAAACTTTAATGAGACCGTCGCTTTTAATTGTTTTCTTTTTCGTTACCTTTACAAAGAAATATTTTACAATTGAAATGAGAATTATAAGTGTATTCTTAGCACCTGTAGGGGTTTGTCGTATTTCTCAGTTAAAAGAAAACTGTTTCATTAACTATAACAAGAGGAAATAAATAATTCTAACACTTAATCTTTTATATATCTTTGTTTCTTATTTTATATGTAATATATTTTACATGATTTGTATAAAAAAATAAAACAAAACATGTTATGTAAAAAATAGAGCACCACCGGCTGCGGGATCCGATGACTCAAGCAACCAGTGGTGAGGGCTGCAGAGACAGGAACCTCCTCACAATACGTGCGGTTTCTAAAATTACTGCTTTTTTAATCGGGCCCTTAATCCAAATGTCTATCGAGAGCTTCTTGAGATGTTGGTCGAAGCTCTTCGCTATTAGCCCGTGTACCGAAACTAATTCTAACACTATTATTAACCTTACCTGTAAAGGTAATCTTTAATTCTAATCTGAATAAGGAAGAAGGCAGTAACCTTCGTTTTTCCTTTTTGGTCTTTGGTTTAGGAAGTTGTTGTCATTCCCGTTGCAACTTTAAAGCAACTTACACAAGGCTACAAAAATGTGTGATGCTAGTCTCTAGGCGAGTGTTCAATCTGACCCTGTACGAAACTCTATGAGATTATATTGCTAAGTCGCTAAGAGAATTGAATCGCAGATTTACGTAGTTTTGTATGGAAGGCCTAAGTCTTCAGGTGTCGATATATTGGCGATTAATTTAATATGCATTAACAGTTAGCAATAGTGTTATATTTATTATTGAAACAAAATAATCTTAAGTTAACTTTTCCCTTTGTTATCGTAACCGTACGCCGAACTTTATGCCTCGCACAATCGCGTTGGGGAACGGTCTGTCCTCGGCGGTATTTCCAAATCAGTACGACTTAGGCTCCTTCAAGAACCGATCCTTTAATTTCCTCAAGGGCCGGTAACGCATCTGTAGTTCCTTTGGTGTTGCGGATGTCCATGGGAGTCCTCAACCACATCTGTGTTTCCACCGGGCGTTTCCTTTTGTGTAGAGAGTAGATGTTGCTAAACTTAATGTAAATAATACATTTTCTTGAGCAGATTTTCGTTTCTTGTTCAATTAATAAAATAGACAAAGTTAAGGCGATAAAATTGATGTTCGTAGTAACTCTCAATTAAAGGCGAAACCATGAAGTTACCAGAATAAGTATTCTCTCTCGCGTGAAAACGAGGCCGCAAACAAATTCAAATTTATTGCGGCGATAACAGAACTTCGAGGAGGCGGCATAAATTTCAGCGGCTGGGTATAACATTTTCCCTTCTTAGTATTTCTAAATACACACAACTCGAACGGTTTGTTTTTAAGCAAATATTTTTAAAAAACAAATACGCTACCGTAATTTATTTGTGGAATTTGCATTTGTTCCGTGTTGTTTATAAATTAGTGTCTTCAAAAGACAGACTTTGACTATAATTTAATTTTCGGAATTGTGAACAAATTAAAAAACGGTGAACTAGGTCTTTTTTCATTGCATAACTGTATCCGATCAAGAGTTAACATAAGGGTTTAAAGTTTGCAGAGCAAAGCATTATAGACAAAAGCATACTTTGTCAATTATTAGCTCATATTTATTTGTAGAAAATATGACGAATATGACCAACCAACAGTTATCTTTAAGACATTTTAAAAAAACGACAATACGCTCTTTAAGGTCGTTTACATTGAGAATAATCTCAACAAATTTTTCAGTGGTTTTGTTTCCAAGTACCAAATCACTTGAATAATGTCGCTCGCGTGTTCGCGGTTAACGAGACAATAAATACGCTGCTATCACCATTTTAATAAATGCTCATGGAACCACCTCGGAATATAAACTAGCCGACGCGCAAAGTTTTATCTTGAGAATTTCCCTTGCGACGACCGGATGTGAAAGTCTTATGGGTTCTATTTGGCTTGTTAATTTACTACCTTTTGCATATTCATTGGAATTATTCGTAAAATACGCAAACCCGTATTTGTAACTTTGTATTTAAAAATATAATATTTAGCAATTATTATTGAATTATTATTTTCCCGTCAACTTAATATTGTTATATTTTAAATATCTAAACATATGAACATAAAGATTCAGACTTAAAAAACGGGAACATATAATTTTTTACAAAAAAATGTAGGTAATATAACCTAGCGCTCCTATAAATATTTCAGTGAAAGCTTCCAGTTATCAAAGCTGTGTACCTTCACTATCACTTCATGAAACTTTGACACCCTCCGCTATACAAAGGCTATGTCGCCATTGTTGGTTAGTGCCCTAACGAGACGGGTTCATATTAACTTCTTTGTGCGATTAATGCAAAGAAATAGCCCAAAGCATGGTTGAAACAAGTGAAGAGAAAATCCAATCTTGTGTCTCTTATTAATCTCTCTGTATTTGTGATAAAAGTTAAAAGAAAAAAAAATAAATAAATTTAAATAAAAAAATAATTTAAATAAATAAATAAATAAAAAGATGTTAGTCTTGGTATCACGGTTGTTAACTAAAGATTCATTTATTTGACGTTATTGAAATAAGTATTTATTTCACTATATGAACTAAGTTTTAAAAATATATATCGCGCTAAATCATTGTTAATTTTTTATTTTGAATGCTGGCAATTTTAGAAATTGTTTTGAATCGGTGTCGTAGTTTGAGTTTTTTAGGCGGACAACCCTGAATGGGTTGACAGATGTCATTGCGGTGATCAAATAACAAATGACAGTTGTGATAAAATGGTAAAATAATGCGCTTTAGATGTATGCACGTATAAAGTCAATTGGTTAATCTCTTTAAATATTCTTAATCCGTCATATTGTGTTCTGTAGTTTTCATTAAAGATTGAAGGGCTGTCTTTTTGGTATTACGTGATTGTTATTTCATTATCTCCAACACGCACACTCACACCTTTAGAATAAAGTTCTGCAAGCCGCTCGTCACTCCGACGTACATATAAACAAGAAAGAATATCATGGGACAAGTATGTTGAAAAAAAAAAACAGAGCGTCTTGCTAAAAGCAAGTGTACATGAACTTGAGAAGATAAAATATCGCGAGGCATTACGTACAAAGTAGCTCCGGGGCGATTTCTATAGGGTGTCTGAAGTGTAGGGGTGGCTACATACAGCTCGTACAAAGTAGGGGTAGTGATTCATCAATTGTGCAAAGTGCCACTTCATATTCAGTCCGTTTCACTGTCGCGTTCGCTTTGCCGCCTCCAAATGAACGCTGATTGGATGATCCGCCATTTTAATTTTAACTTTTTTTTATCACAGCCCGATAGGCTTTTAGTAATTTCGAAACGGATCCCGAGAGTTAATATTTCGACAAGTGCTTGCGTATTAAAACAGGATTTGTTTGATGAATTTTCATTCGTTTCGATTTTATTTTTTGGCAATCAAACGTTAGCCGTTTGTTTCGGTGTTAAAGGGATTATAAATTATTTTTATACGTTTATACAATGGTTGTATTTCGATTGCTTATAGCAAACAACAAAGCTTTTGATCCGCAATTTATTTGCAGTTATCTTGTTTAAAAAAAATATCAATTTAATTACCTATACGATTCCTTATTTCTATACAAAGAATGGAGTTCCGATATAATCAGCACGCTTTTGTTTAACAAACGATTGAAAAGATAAAAGTATCAATACCGTAGGTCGTAGTACATGTAAAAACACTCCTTTTTTGGCTAAGCAAATAGAGTTACTTGGATAATTTGACGTCGCGGCCCCGCCCCATGGGAACAGAACTAACATCTGGGGTGTACCCATCCATAAGGGCATTGTGCAAGCTCCCAACTGCAATTCGAATTAGAATAATAAGATTTTTCTTTCAAATGCACTTGAAATATTGATGGGGAAAATACTCAAAAAACGTAAAGTTCATTTGAAACAAACCTATAAAATGGAAAACTTTACCCCTTTTTTGCACAACACATTTTTAGTTAAAAAGTGCTCGGTTGTAGATTGTTTTGTGTTTACACACATTATAACAACAGACAACCGCTATTTAAAAAATCGCTTAGTAAATTAACAAAACACTTGATAAAATACTTCATATCAAACTTTTGTCGATTACAACTATTGAATAAACTATCTACAAAAAAGACCCTAGATAAAATTTAGACACGGCATTATTTTATTGTGTAACATTTATTTGCTTGTTGCAGGTCTAGACGCGGAGTTGTACTATGTTCGGGAGGGCGTGGTGAACACGTACGCTACTAGCTTCATAGTGCCCGTGCCAGCGCACATGACTGACTTGGAGTTCATGTGGCAGGCGCTGGGACGGAAACCGGTTAGTATACTATTGTTTACTGTTTTATGTTTTCATTCGGATAGAAAAGCTACCGCAGTTATTTGTTAAATGGCCTCCCATATCCAGTGTAAAAATCTACACTATTAGTGTAATAATTAATCTATATAAGAGTATTTCTTCTAAAGGATTCTTAGATGTTTTGGGTTAAATATAAAATAATAATAAAACACATTTAGAAATGGCTAAGAACTTTTACGAAAACTGCGATTAACTAAGCTTATTTATACCTACCTGCATTTTTTAATTCGTTGTCCATAGACACAAAAATTGTAATTTACAAAGCAATCATTATTTCACATGTTGTATAAAACGAAAAAGGTCTAAATATTTAACACACGTAACGCATTTAACTAAAACTTTATTTCGTTACTGGATAGTATCACAAAATCACGATGTTTTTAAATCGTACGGACCGTAACAAAACTAACGCGCGAGCTGTGTTGTCAAATTTGTTTTTATTCGACAAACAGCAGTTCAATTACTGAGGCGGTAATTGTATCTGTTGTCGTCCTCGTACTTTCCAATTTGGCTTCGAAGCGATTTAATTTCGCCAGACAAAAGAGCCGGGGATAAAGTCTTCATTTTTGAAGCGAAGCACTCTATTGTAATTATTAGTTATTCACGACTTATTTTAATTTAGTCCTAACAATGTAACAGTCGTAACAATTTCGCACACTACACACTTTATGGGATAGTTTAAGCACGACCCGTTCAAACCAACTTAACCAAAATCGGTATTATGTGACTGTAAAAAGTGTCCGATTATACTCTCAGCCGATTGAAAGTCTATGGTGTGCACGGAAACTATTTGTACATTTTGGCAAGTAGATATGAAACTTAAACTATTCGGTTTAATTTATTTGTGTATGTATGTGTAAAGAGCTGGATTTTATATGGTAACACTTTCTATGATTACATAATGTTACATGCGAAAGTTTTAATGGATGGATGTTTGTTACAGTTTGTTGTCTAAACTGCTGAAAGGATATCAATGAAATTTGATGTAGATGTAAAGAATAGTGTGGAAGAAGACATAGGCTGTTTACTTTTGTATTTTTTTTAATTCCACGCGCACGGAGGCGCGGGTGAAAGCCAATCACGCAATAAAACGTCAATTTTTTGTAAATCTGTTTTAACATTGAACGAATGGTAATCCAGGTGCCTTATTCATAGAGGTAATTAAGTTTCGTGAACTCGAGTTCCGAAACTCATTTAACATGTGCGCTGCTTGAATGTTTCCAACAAAAGCTGTGGCAATTTTTAAAGTCCGCCCGTCATGCTGCTAATGAAGTCGGTTCCCTTGTTCTATTGTTTTGGCAGCGGCGTTAAGCTGTTTGTCAATCTAATAGCTTATTAATCATAGCTTTTGTGGTGCTGTAGCGACTTTGTGCTGTTAAGATTTACATTTATTATGATTATAAATATTTTATGATCGTACGACATTCATCTTTTTATTACTTTTAACGTTTAAAGACTTATGCAAGATTCATTTGTTTTTAATTTCTGGAGCAACGACAAGATATGAATCTCTTTAGTCCCTTGTTATGCAAAATAGGGACTAAAATTATGCAAATTCCAACAGTGGTCGGTCATTAGCTCTTTGTATCCAAAAATTGTTATAAAACAAATTTTTATTAAGTGATTAATAATGTAAAATTATATAATTATACTAGCTTTTGCCCGCGTGGGATTAAAATAAAAACAAAAGCAAGTCGCCTATATGTTTTTCCTAACTATCCTTTATTCCATGCCAAATTTCACCGAGACCCGTTCAGCAGTTTATATAACAAATATCCATCCATCAAGGTTTTCGCATTTTTAATATTAATTAGATTAGATTATAGATACTTGTTTAGGATAGCACGCTATAATTTTTATCTAAATGGTCTGAAAAAGACAATTAAGTTGACGTTTGATTTACGACACAAGCTCACAAACTTTAAAGTGTGATTATGATAAAGGGCTGCATACATCTCAATCGTCACGAATACAATTTTGTGCACGCCTGTACCATTAAAACGTATTGCTGTACAGTCGGTATTAAATGACGTGTGGTATATTCACGCACTGCAGGATCGTGTAAGCGTTGTTTATTATTCCGCACAGTTGCCGTACGTGATGGGTATAGACTACGAGAGCCGCGGCGCCATGCTGCCGCCGCAGGTCAATATATCCGAGCGAGGATATGTGCCTACTACGCTACAGACGTTTAGGTAGGTCTAAACAGTTTTCTTACGCAATGTACTATTATTTATAGTGAATAGGTACATCCTTCACAGTCTCTTTATACTGTGTAGACAGATTTAATAGGTTTTAGTTAATTGCAATGTCTTTATCAATGAAAACGTTATCTCTATCGTATCTTGACAATGGTATAGCCCGCTTTAACGTCTTCGCACGAATGGGCCGACTCGCCCGGTGTAATACCACGACCACACAAAAAACAAGCGTGAAGTGGAAGCAATTCCGCGTTTCGTCTAATGAGTGTGGTACCGTAGGCCTAATTTCAGTCTCTTCCCCTTTCTTCCCTTTTCTTAAGAGGAAAGGATGGAAAGGAAAAGTGGATTTGGCAGTGGAGGAGACTGATAGGAAGGGGAAATGTCCTCTTTATGTGCGTCTCCTCTTCCACCAATTAAGGGCAGGCAACGCATCTACTCGTTTGCTACCTTATATTATAAAAAAAATCTTACTCAAGGAAGCTCAAAACATTTTCTTATACAGTTCTTACATTTCAGAGTACGCCTGCCGTGTACGGGAACTAGAAGTGCAGAAATACTGGTGACAATGCAACTTAACATCTCCGCGCCCGACCGTGCTCATAAAGACGTTAAATTGCTCTTTAAAAGAAATAAAATCTGCTTAAAAGGTTAGAATTATTAAATAATACACTACTAAACAACATATTAATAAACACAACTACGAAAAAAATAATCATAAGAAAATATTGCGTAATTTCTTTCAAGGAAATTTTCTTCCGTTCATGTTTAATTTTGTATAAATAAGTCTTTGTGAAAATAATATTCAAAAGCTCACAACTTCTTTAATACTTAATCTTTGTGCCTTTCTTAAGTTTTTCCACAATTTATCGCAACTTGCTACAATAAGCATTTGTACAACTTTGCTTAACAGTAAAAGCAAGAGTAGGAAATATCTGTTATGATATATTTTTCTTTTATACTACTTTAATACGTGGTTTGAAAACTTGCTTCTCTTTCAGGTGGAACGAGTTCTTTACTTAATATTACTCACACATAGAACTTAGAACTTTATCCCAAAGGCATTTCATATTTAAATAAGCCTGAAACCTGGCCAAGTTCCATCCCGACCCCTCGATAAATCACTTTCCAATAGGTATACTAAAATGGCATAAAGCAATAAAAAGACTAACTTCTCCGGCAAACACTTTGTCTGGCAATAATAATAACAATAAATTTCCCAAGCCCGCTGACTAACGTCGCCTGAATGAGGGTGTTTCTATCACTGAAACGCTCATTCTGAAAAGCTTACGACAGGCAAATCGTGTCATATCTGGATGGAATTATCTGATACCGCAATCGACATTGTTTTATTATTCGTGAGGTTGTATTTGAATAGAGATTGCTTTAGTAATGTCTATGTTATTTTCAGAACAAACATTTGTTACTTTTTCTTTTATACTTCGTGATGAGAGGAGAACTAACATGGTTACAAACTTTATGTCGTTCTTTTTAAATAGTTATTTCTATAATGACATTTAACCATTTCCAAAAAGGAGGAGGTCTTTTCCAAAAATCAATAACAATAATCAGCCATAGACATGATAGTACAAGAAAGAAAAGATTTCAGTCTTTTAAAGTTGAGTTTTATTGCAATTTTGTAACTCAAAATCAAATAAATTGATGATTCTAGGAGGTAATTGAATTCTAGGAAATAATAGGCGTTTTATTTTTAAATATTGATGTACGTAAGATTTTAATATATCGAATCTATCGATTGAGGTTCGAGTGAAATGCAAAACAATACACTACAGTGCACTTCAAAAGAGCAATCTTCAATCTCTACCGGAATGATCTTTTGTTCCTTTAAAATGAAGCTAAATTTCAGAACTGAAAGTATACTCGCAATTTTATTCACTCCACAAATCACTCCCTCGCATTCTTTATTAGCATGTAGACGTTTCCGTAGACGCAACAGGATATTTTGCGAGGGATGAAGACGCATTAGGAGGGGCGGCCGCGGAGTACACGGTCCCCTGTTTAATGTGTTTACAAGGAAGTATCGATTGTTCTATTGTACTTTTATTTGACTTGGAAATTTGGCGCTCCCTTTTGTAAGCGTCAGGTTTATTGTGGGACTTATCAAGATTTTGTATCGAATTGTAACTCAAATCTTCCGTAACTTTGATCTGAAATATACAAAGATGTATAACGCCTTTATATTTTACTGTTTACATTCGTAGAACTTACAGAAAACAGTTTGATTTAGTTACTTATGTAACTGAAGATATTTACACATAATAGATTTGTAATAATGTGATATAAAATATATAATTTTCTACATTATAAGTAAATCCATTCTTTATTATATTTATCTCCCTAGGGTTTTCATATACTCCTACGTATTTACTGTATTACAATATAACTTTGTATGAAATAATATTTCTTACAAAACTCGCAAACATTAATTAAAAGTTGTATTCATTCAAACGAATTTATTTCTCGACATCAAAGTTAATTACTTTAGCAATAGAAGACTAAATTATATTTCAAAACTTATTCACTTGAAACTTATGAAGGTTTGAAGTGTTCAGGAATAATGAAAACATTTTTAATTATTAAGATATGTCTAAAGTTTATTTAACTTAAATCGAAATAGATCAGGTCAGTACAAAATGTTGAATAAACCTGATCTTAACACGTAATATGATGTATTATGCCCAAATACAGTACACATTTATTAGTCGAGGCATTATCTCTTTTACTGTCTCATTTTTTTTATTTTGAAATTTAATTGGAATTCCGTTGATTAAATACAAACAGTAATTTTACACTTTTAATAAGTAATTAAATAGAATAATTAAAACTAATTACATTACGAATAAAATTATCACAAAAGACGCAATCAAGGTATACTGGGTACAATAAAATTTTTGTTTGACCAATCTGTCGTCTCGTAGCAACTCGTAATGGTTTCCGCATCAAGACACTTTAAAGCGATAGAGGGGTGGTATTTAATAAAACGTTGAATCCTGAGTGCGTACCTGGGTTTGCTATTATACAATCTCGTTCCCTCCGCATTCGCAGAAAGTTTTTTCTATTATCCCTAATATTTCATTTAGTGGGTTTCATCTAATATCATTACGTGTGGGGAGGCTTTCGACAAATACTTTAAAAGCTGCATTGTTATTACGCCCGGTAGGAGACGTGATGAATTTTTCAAACTGGATCGTTTTGTGTTCATTCATTCTTATTACGCCTGTCGCAGAATTATAGCAAGGGGAGGGATTTGAGGTTTCTTAAAGAGCTACCTGTAAACTTATTTAATACGCATGAAGGGATTACCATGCGCCAGAGTTACTGAACTTTAAGATATTTAGTAAAATTTAGGTATACTTTTGGTAATAATAAACTCTGTACTCTCTTTGGTAAAAATACAATTATGTGTCATGTTAATTATAATGCAAAGAGAAAAAGTGTAATAATTATGAACTAGAGGTGTGTCTAAAACTATTTATTATTACTTCTCAAGCATTCAACCTGAAACTATGAATTGTTAACACTTCATATTGAAATGAACATCGAGGAACTTTCATGCGAAAAGTGTATTCTGCATTCGATTTAGTAATGATTAATTAATTTATTTTAAAAAGAGCTAAAAAACATAACAACAGGATTATCAACCGTCGTAACGCACAACGAAACGGCTCGCCTAGCTGGAGACGCGACACGTAGTTCAGGCGGCGTGCTGTTCGCGGCGGGCGGGTGCGCGGCCGCGGCTTTGGCGCTGCTTGCGGGCGCGGCGGCCGCTGGGACGCTCTACCGCCGCGGTAACAAGGCGAGGCACCATGACTCCATACAGTAAGTACTAAAAAACAGTTAATGAAATTTTCTTATATAGCTATGGGACGTTATGTTATATTTTACCTCATCTTACTGATATTTTAAATGCGAAACTTTAGATGGATGGATGGATGTTTGTTTGAGTTTGTAACCTAAACAGCTAAACGGATCTCGACGTAATTTGGCATAGACGTATATGATAGTCTAGAAGAACACATAGGTTATTCGCTTTTATTTTTTTTAATTCCACCCGTACGGAGTCACGGGTGAAAGCTAGTAAAATATAATAGGAGTTATACATTAAGCTTTAATGAAAAGCATTACGTTTCTAAAGTAATTATGAATAATTGAACAGGGAAGGATTTAGGAGGAGGAAAGAAAAATTACAGTAATTGCACTTTGAAAGCTGAAATAGAGCTGTCGACGATAAAATTGTCCAAAAAGTTTCAACATTCGAGGTGTAATCTAACTTCTGTAAGTGATACAACGTGCCTTGTTGAAAGTAATCATTGAATCATGTGATCATCATCATCTCCCCTGCCTTATCCTACTCCCGTAGGGTCGGCGCACCGGGTTTTCGTCCTTCAAAGCATTCTATCATCCGTCATCTCAGTCATCACTCTCTTCTTGATCATGTCACCTTTTACGCAATCCATCCATCTATTTCCAGGTCTGCCTCAACCGATGTACCCCTCCACATTGAATCATGTGATAATTTTATGAATAACTAGCTGTTGCTCGTGACTTCGTCCACGTGAAATTTAAAAATATAGCCAAGTTTTCAGCGATAAAGTAGCTTTCTAATGGTGAAAAAAATTTTGAAATCGATGCAGTAGATTTTGAGTATTTTTTCTTTATAATATTAGTATAGATATCACAATATCGTAGACGTATTTTTAAATTCTTTCATATAACTTATTATTATTCAAAGTGAAACTTTGGGTTTTACTACTTTTATATTTTGATCATGCTCAAATAACATTAACCATGAGTTATGTTTGCTATAAAATGACTACTACGACTACTCGAATAGTGAATATTTCTCCTCAAAAAGTTTATGTAGGTTTCAGTGAGTTTTATTTATGTTGAATATAATTTGAACGACATACGATATCCAATTCTATCTTTTCTACAGGAAATATTTCAAAAAAGGGCAGTACTATAGTTCCATAGGAATAGTCTAGGAATCTAGGAATAGTCACATAGTCTTTATCTATACTACTATTCTAAAGAGGAAAGATTTGTATTTTTGTATGTTGGAATAACTCAAAAACTACTTGGCTGATTTTAATAATTCTTTCACAATTAAAAAGCTACGTTATCAGTGAGCAACATGTGCAATTACTATTTCCTAATTTCACGCGGACGAAGTCGTGAGCAACAGCTAGTATTTGCTAAATCGCTTCTCGTTCTTCTTAAGATAGTTTGTATAAAAGACTAGCTGTTCCCGTAAGGCTTTATCCCCATGAAATTATGAAAATTTTTACTTTATTGTTCACATTTGTCAAATTATCAATAGCAAATGTCAAAATGACATGACATGTCAAACCTTGGCAATCTTACTTTCTTGATGTTGGCAGCAACTTATTGTCTCTTTCCCACATTGGGATTTTTATCCAAAATATTTACCCCCTAAGTTTAATGGCGTGAAAATATAAAGCATGACGTAAGTGTACGGCTTTTTATTAAAAAAAAAAGAATTATTCAGAAATATGCCGTAATTGCTGACATCTTAGGCAACAAAGAAGTGTGTGTTTACGCTTTATTCTAATAGTATAGATAAGTAAATATTATCATCGTAATTCGACTACAAATTGCGTTATAAAGTTTATTATATTGAAGAATGGAAGTGGGCAAAGTATGTCACTTGCATGTTACAAAGTATATTGGAAGCTACCCTTGTCTCTGGCGTGGTTGATGGATGACCGCAGGGGAGGGTTTATCGATAGATAATAAATAACCCGGCGCGGTTTAATTGTCCGCCGCTTCTGGTGTTTTACAATAAAATATTGATGCTTTTGATACATTTGTAATGACCTTAATGTAAAGTTTTTTGTTTTAAATTATTGTTTTAAGTAAACGATATCGGTACATTGTCATCTAAACTATTAATCCAGTATGGAAATTGCCGTATACATATTTTTTTTCATTAGAAATAGATTTCCAGCTACAAATCGTACTTACACACGTACGTTTTAACAATCTACACTCGGAGTCTATTTTATTTCTATGAATCTACTTTTTAATTTTGATAACATTTGTTCTAGCACGTCATATACGACTGCAGCGTACGGAAGCCACCAGAATGTTCTATTAAGACTGGACACGCTGGGACGACCGCCTAGCTCTACTGGTTCTTATGCCACTATAGCCAGCTTGCATAAATTTCCATTCGGTAAGCCAATACTAGTCCAATTGTACTCAGAGTTGCTAACTAGTTATTAAAGGTGTCCCTTAGAGTAGGATTCTTAAATAAATAATAATACACTAAGAGACACCTTTCGTAACAAATTAACATCTCTGTTTGATATAAACTATGCAAGGGACGTGTAAAATAAATATCTTTATAAATCTAACCGTAGCTATCGAAGTTGAAACTTAAAGCCTGACACTTGATCCCTAAGTTAAAGTGCATAGGTATAAAGTTACAATAGACTCCCCTAGTAAAGTCTAGGTATAAAGACAATGTTACTTGAATAGTGATAACTATCTGTCTACCCCGTCTTTTTCAAAAGCATGAGAGCTCTTCTGATTCGTCAAGAGTTAAGCTTGAGAGTTGCTAACGTAGTAAATACTATAGACATTTAAATAACAAATATTAAATAATCTTGTAAAGCATGTACTTATAAGGTTACATGTGATTAATCCGACAATTGGTACCTAAACGTACATCAAATTTGTATATGTCATAAAAATACGTAATGTATAAAATTGATGGTCCACAAGATGGCCCTACCAGTACTCGGAGTTCGTTATTTTACTAAATTTTAGCACAAATGTAGTGCGATTGTCGATTGTTTCGCAGCCAATTCAACTGTTTAGTTGCACAAAAGAAAATTAATAGTGTGTTCCTCCATATAAGCGAATAGGAATCAAAGTGCGTTCACAGTTGTGCGATATTTTAATCAAAACTGAGCGCGCATAAGCCTACATATTCTTGTCAATGCTTACTTATTGGTTTGTTTATTCTCAGGCAGTCGACGTTCACCATCGCCATACGCTACAACACACATCGGAGAGCACGTGTACGCCAAGCCGGAGTCACGTGTCTCCTACTACGCTGCCTCGAACCTGACGCACGTTTCTCAGGTACGTTCAGAAACTGTGGTATGAATTGTAGAGGTTTACAATTAAGTCGGTTTAATTCTAAAAACTTAACATCTAATAGTTTTATGATTAGTCAGAAGAAAATGCGGATGGATTGTGTGAAAAAGGATATGCTTAAGCAGGGAGTGGATTCAGATATGACAGCTGATAGAGATGTATGGAAGAGCAGCATGTGCCCACTCTCCTTAGGGTTAAGAGCAACTCGATGATGATGTTGGTCAAATATTTGTTCGACAAATGTGTTTTTAAATATGTATGTAATTATATAGTGACCTTTGTTTATTTAAACTGTCGAGTTAAGTATTTTATAACCCTTCTACGATTTAACGTAGCGTGTAATATCTTTTTGGTTATAAAAATGACTTGAATCGTTTTATTAACATGTTAACATACCTAACGTACTTGAATTACATAGTTTTCTTTTAAAATAAAAATCTTCAGAGACTATTGAGATGCCTGCTATCGCTCCAGACAACTAAATCTTGCGTTCATAGCCCATATCGGACAAATTAGCTGCCATTACGTGGCTACCCTTGATCCCCGTAGCTATTCTATACATAGGTTCTACACGTATAGAATTTACTATCTGTATTAGCTAAAGCTGGATCTATGAAGTTACTACAAACTTTACTTGTATATAATTATGCATTATGAGGGGAATATCTTTTACTTACGAAAAACAAAATACAACATCAGATTAAAAAAAAAACTTTTTAATAATCTATTTAAGAAGAACTAATCTCGGAAATTTATTACAAAAGGGGGATTTGTTTATTTAAATTTCCTTGCCGGAGGTTGAATGCGCATGAAATGAGCCCTTTACCTCGTTAGAGATCCAATTTGAGCGGCCTGCAACGTGCCCACCTCCCTCCCCACCCCTCAGGTGATACAGAGGTAATGCAATTAGCAATCTCCTACGACACGCAGTAACAGCGCACTGTGAACCCTTGTGACGTCAATCGTTCTTGGAACTAGATAATTTAAAAAATACAGATGAATTGTAACCTTTTTTTTGGGAAGTCGTTAAAAAAAATGGTTCATAGTATCGATGATGGATTGATGTTTGTTAGAGTAAAATTTAACCTACATACCCTAAATTGCTGAACATATCTTGATGAAATTTGTCATAGATGTAGAGGATAGTTTTGAACAACACAGGCTACTCACTTTTGTTTTTTAATTGCACGCGTAGTGGGCGAAAGGTTTAACTGCATTCTGTGGAAGGTATTAAGTCCTATATCCAACAGTGGGCAGATAAAGACTGATGATGAAGACGACTATGATAAAGCAAATAAAATTTAGTTAACAACTATTCATCGTTGATATCCTAACACACGGAACAAAAAGCATTTAACTGATGTCATTATGGTTTCTGTCATAGGTATTTCCTTTCACAATCATCCAAGCACTTCAGACTTGCTTTTCAAACCTCTGGAAGCCTTACGAAATGTAATAGTAAACCTTTTTATTTCTAGATTTCGACGAGACGGTTAATTTTATTATACTTGGCACGGTCGAGTCTTTTTAATTGGTATTCTCCTTCAGTAAATAAATTTAGAAGATCTCTGCGTCGCGGAGAAAATATGAATTAGTCTTATTTAGTGAGGGAGACGCGCTAACGAAACCTAGTGAGGTGGTGTGAGAATCGTAACTAAGGGGGAGACATGAAGTGAACGAGGGTGCTTGTTGACTACGAGTAAACGAGCTACAAATGAATGACTTTATTTCTCAATGAATAGTTATTCATCTGTGAATTTTAATGTTATTGTTGTTTTAATTTGATAATAAAATTTATAATTTTATCATAAATAAAATAGTAATTTCCATTAAATTGTTCTCTCACTTGCTAAGAGGAAGTAAATGGGAAAATGAAAATATGATCAATTCTAATACTGTACTTTTTATAAATACGAAAATTCAGATTAACTTTAAAATACATACCGAAAATCGGATTTCTTTGATATTAAACAAGTAGCAGTTTTAAAAGGAAATCTTAATGTATTTTGCAGCGTTGCAAACGCTTCGATAACTTTGCTAGTTATGCCGTAAGCAAAGTTTGTGTTCCTTATTCAACGTCCAATATAAGTTAGAAACAAAATTTAGCTTCAGAACTCGATTAACGATATCGCTCTGCATCTCGCTACGACCGAATTGAATTAGATGCTCGCACCTGACTTAAATAAAAGCAAGTTCAATTCATAAGAGGCTTTTGCAAAATTGTTTACGCTTGTGATGGTTATCTCTCAGACAACACAATACTTTATTACTAAACTAGCTTTCACTCGTGACACCGTCCGCGTGGAATAAAAAAAAAAGTAGCCTTAAGTTCTTCCAGACTATCCTAAACATCTATGCCAAATTTCATGAAGATCTATCAGCAGTTTAGGCTACACGCTCTAACAAACATACGTCCATCTAAACTTTTGCATTTATAATATAAGTACGATTTTGACAAGTAATTATTCATGTAACCTGATACATAATCCATACATACTTTTCCCACTCTTTCTCTATATTAGTAACCATTGATTTATACCCATGATTTAAACACATTTGATCATCCTCTGCACATGTCCAGGTTAACCTGTTGCTCTTCAATGTACTGAAACAAAAGAACGTTTCTTGTTTTAACATTTACGCATTTTGTATTCTGATTAGCAAACAGCAAAGGATCGTATAACAGACCCGTCGGAGCAACTCCGCTACCTGTCGGCTCCCCGCTCCAATATTCGTCTGGAGATTTTAGTGCACGAGGGGACGTTTGGCAGAGTTTATAAAGGAGTCTACAAACGTGGTGACACTTATGAAGAGGTTATTGTCAAGACTGTAACAGGTATGTCAGTTTTTGGAGAATATTTGATTATAGAAAAGTATTTCAATATTTCTTTACTGCATATCTCGAAAAGTATGTCGTTACAATAAAAGTATCGTATATTTATTTGGTAAAAGCAGTCGCTTTTCGGCAATTAAGTGGCGTGTTCATTTAATTACCTGCAAATTTAATTTAAAATCCAGCTTTAAAAGATCCTTTTATTTCGAAATGTAAAGAGGAAGAGGATATTAATTAATTATTTGTCAGATAAAATATATTTTTAAATCGGCACTGAAACTGAGTACGAAAAATATTTAAATAAAACCATTATCATAATAATTGTACCAAGGTAGTGGTTCAAATTTTCTAAATCTTTTTTAGGAAAAAATACTGCTTCAGTTATTATATTTATATGTTTAACGAAAAACAATGTTCATTTTTTAAAACAATATTTCTTGTTATCTAGAAGCGGCATCAACGATGCAGGCGGCACTGTTCGTGGCTGAAGGTCTACGTCTCTGTGGTCTAGTTCATGCCAACGTGCTCGCCCCGATGGCCGCGTGCGCTGAAGAGGCTCGCAAACCACTTCTAGTTTACTGCTGTGTTTCACATTCTACTAATCTTAAGAGGTGAATTAATATTTATTGTTCTATTTTAAATAAGTAAATTAACTATTTACAGGTATTTTTTTCTTATGACTTTCTAAGTACGAAACAGAATTAAACATCTATTTTCGTGAATATTGCGATGCTGTAGACATACTGCCTTCACAATACCATTTGTCTTTTGACTTACGTACGATTGGACATTGAGTAAGATAAGTCCAAGGTTTGTGGATTTCTGACCATTATTGTTGTTTCTTAGATTCCTGACGTCATGCCGATTGGGCCAGCAGAGTACACCGGCGACGCGCGAGCTGGTGGAACTGGGCGCGCAGGCGGCGTGCGGCCTCGCCTACCTGCACGTGCAGCGGTTCATACACGCTGATATCGCCGCCAGGAATTGCATGTATAATGAATTTCCAAACAGTTACAAAAAGGAGGCTTCCACTGAACTATAGAAAACTCGAAAGAGTTCTACCTTTTAAGATACCGTGCATTATTTTTAACCCCTGTCTTCTAATTTATTTTGTGTTCTTTATCATTAAATTTTGTGATACTTTGTTCAGACTGGACGAGAAGTTGAGACTGAAAGTGACTGACAATGGTCTATCGAGGGACCTGTTCCCAGACGACTATCACTGTCTCGGAGACAACGAGAACAGACCGGTCAAGTGGATGGCGCCTGAATCACTGCTTCACAACCAGTACACCACAGCTTCAGATGTGGTAAGAGAGTATATTTATATACTTTCTTCTTGAGTTAAGTCTTTAGCAGTCTTTCGGTATTACACGTCCTTTATTCTCTTTCTCATAGTGGTCACTAGGCATAACACTATGGGAGCTAGCAACGCTTGGCGCGGCGCCGCTCGCCGAGCTGGACGCAGCGGACGTGGGCGCCTTCCTCAGCGGCGGCTACCGGCCCTCGCAGCCACACAACTGTCCTGACGAGTTGTGAGTATGATGTCTATAAAATTGATATAATCCATATGTGTTTTATTTAAATGCAAGGAAAGAGCATTACAGGTGCATTTTTTACGATGAATTAACCAGCGTTTGTTCTTGATTTCACCTGATATTAAGTGATTTTGTGTAGTCACCCAACTCATTTGTTCTTTGCACCATTACCTTCTAACTACATTCTACATAGTACTTTCCTTTCAAATTTCTCCATCCGTCAAATCTCATTTGTCATATATTGTCTTTGTCACAATACAACAGCACTTTCTTCATCCACGTTCATTTCAGTTGTAAACTTTTTCTGCATGAAATGATTGTAGGCGTTACTTTGTTAGACGAGGAATTGTTTTAACATTTTCTAAATTATAACCAGGTACGGACTTATGTCGTGGTGTTGGACCACACTACCTTCAGGTCGACCTACGGCGCCCCAACTCCTCGCCGCCCTACACGATTTTAGACAAGCTCTCAGCACTTACATATAATGAATTACTTTCCTCAATAACCTCTCCAAAATTCTTCTCTATTTTAAGAAAACTTTGTAGATTCTTTACTTATAATAAAACGAATTTAAATATAACTTCGACTTATGCGATATTGGAAATTAACTCTTAAATCGAGTAAACTTTTCAGAATATTCGATTATCTTTATCTGTAGCCGTTTCCACTTCATTTTCTTCTAATACCAAAGTGCCTGCGAAGATAACACGATAAATGGGTAATTTAAACTACAAGAGAATCGTTAGTAGACTTTGAACATTTTTTAAAATCCGATTATTAAAATTAGTAAATCATAATTTATAAACAAATCCTTAGTTAAATTAAATTGTCATTAAGAATTCATTAAAATGAAAATCATCTACATGATTAGTTTAATATTTTTAAAACAAAAAAAAAATTGCATGTTGGTGTATAGACTGTATATTTTTAAATTATTTATTAATGTGTGATAATGTAATAAGTGTGGAGATTTATAATTTTATTGAATTAATACTGTAATTTATATTTAACACGTAAAATGGGAGGGATCATAGGGTTTCGCACTAAAAAAAGCGAATTCATAGAATTCGCATTTATATGAACGTGAGTTGTCTGATCGCCGTGTAAATAATATTTATTAATATTTATTACACCTATTTTATATTCCGATAAGACAAAAATATTTATTTTATCTATTTAATTATTTAATTAATTACCTATAGTTTTTAAATGGAACGTTTTTGAACTTCTCAATTCGTTTTAAAAGCAAAAAAAGTCAGTAGCATTTGTAAACAAGGGAAAGTATACTTTATTATTTATTTAATGTATATAGTTACAATAAGAGGAAATAATTAATTCTATGCAATTGAAAATATGTCGTTTACAATGAATGTAATTTTATTAAGTCGATGTAATGGAATTAAATAATAGAAATAATAAATGTAATTAGTTTTAAAGTAAAAAGTAAGTATGTACGTTTAGAATAGAGTTCCTGAGGACATAAAAGTCCGTCCAGGCCACAAAAGGATCAACACCAAAACAGTAGCTAGTTGTGGGGTAAGACTGAAGCGACTTTGAAAAATCTTTGGCTTTCGACTCTTAGTCTGACTCTCTTTAGCGATATATTCAATAAAAGCACAGGTGACCATGGACTTCTACCAGAATTGTTTAAAAATTAAAAATATTGGCTCTGCTTTGCGATATCTTATCTTAAAAAGTCCAAGCCCAGACTACTTTGTTATAAATCGTCGACTAGTGAAATCGTCGTTGCTTGGTCGCTCGTTAACCCAGCAAGGATATTTAGTTACAAATAGATCGCTTTTAGACTTCCAAAGATTTATCAAACTAAGACTTCGGCAATTCCACGAATCAAATATGTCTATTCTAACATAAATTATTACGTAAACATAATATATACATATTATAATATTAAAATATGTTGTAAATATAAAACACAATATGACTACAATTAATATGGATGTTACTATAGTTAAAGCTTCATCGGTCTATGTTAACTTAATCCTTCTATTTTAAGTAATTTTCTATTTCAATGAAAATGTAAAGAATATTGCTGCTAACCTAAATGAGGAGTGTTTTAGGTAGTCTTTCTACACTTTTGTTCGTCTGAACAATGTTCACATTCTTACGTCTAAAATTATATTTTACTAATATAAACAAATGACTGTAGATAATTTAATTTTTGCACTCATACAATTTTCATCGAGCCTAAAAGCAAAAGGAATCAGAACAATAAACTGTGTGTTTTTAACTAGAATTGCACGATTTTTGAGAATTGGAGTTAAATGTACAAAACATTTGGTTAACATAAAAATACCCAATTCAGCACTTTTATAATCTTACTCTTACTAATATTATAAATGTGAACGTTTAGTTGGATGGATATTTGTTAGAGTTTGTAGCCTAAACGGTTGAACGGATTTCGATGCAATTTGGCATAGATGTAGAGGTTAATCTGGAAGAACACATAGGCTACTCAGTTTTGTTTTTTTTCGCAAACGGAGTCGTGCGCGAAAGCTAGTAGTGTAATATAATGACTATAGTAAGGTCATAATTTTCAATGAAAAAAATTGTGTCGATTAAACAACTTTTAGTAATAAGTAATTAAATTGATTGTGTAAATGTTTAATATAAGTGTCCATTTATGTCGTTTTATGTAGCCGATGTACATAAATTTGCTATAATATGAATGTATGAAGAGTTCAATCGGGTAACTAAAAACTCTATAACGGTTCTCATAAGCCTCTGTAAATGTTATTTACGAGGGAGCGATATTTTTATTCATAAAAGATTAACGAAAACAATCAACAAAAATGAATAAAAAGGTTTCATGTAGCCAGTTAAATATTGCTTTTCGCTTTACAAAATATCTTTTTTAATTTTTTTTATGAAGTGAAACTTTCTTGCCTAACGAAATACATAAGGGAAAGTGAGAAAATCTCCTATCGTCTTTTCAAAAAGAATACACGACCAATGCTTCTGGTCCAATTCGGAAAGTAAATTAGGTTTTGAAATTAGTAAAACGCATGTATATGCCATTAAAATTGATTGTATTTAAAGCGCGTTATGGATGAAACAGGGTGGTTACCTCTAGGCATTATAATGCATGTAGCGTTTTTATAAATTTGATTTGCAAATAATTTCAACGTTAGCTTGTAAGTTTTTTATTAATAATAAACAATCGAAGTACCTCTTACAGTTAATAATATTAATGATGTAATTCGCCGTACATAATAAAGCATGTAACACACAGACGTCGATATATTCGAAGCGAGATCGAAGCGATATTTCATGTCATTATTACATTTATGTAATGAAATAGATAGGTACCAAAAATACTAAGAAAAATACTTAATACGATTAAATGCTAAATTAAGATATGTGTATTAAAATGGTGTTTTGTTTTTTTTTTTAGTTTTCTGTTTATACGATATGGTATGTTCTTCAAATCGTCTGTGTGGAGCGGGCTTAAACTTTGTGCAATACATAGGTCGCTAGTTTGCTTGCAAATGGAAGGATTTTATTTTTATAAATACATTTGTATTGTAAGTCATTTCAAACTATTTATTAACCATGTAAATTAACATTTTTTTTTATTTGCACTAAGATATGGTAATTTTGTTAAAGTGTACCGAATAACTACCTGTATTTTTTTATGAATTAGTTAAATTGTTGTATTTTCTTTGGTATTTATTTGAAACTATTGCGGCCGAATATTGAAACGTAATATAAATATGTAAATCCACACTTAAATTCCATTAAAATATTATCGTCTGTCGTTTGTAAGCGGCGCTTACGAAGTATTTAAAATTCGTTTCAGCATTTGGCCATTAAACGTATTCGAAATTAAGGTCATTTTTGTAAGCATTATTTGATCAAACATTTGTCCAACCATTGGTAATAAGTAAGTAGGATGTTGGATGTGAATGGATACTTGAACCACGTCATAATGACTTTGTGTGCCAGATGTATGTGATTGTAATATATATGTTATTGATGTCTAAATAATAAATATTTGTTTGATGTAAGTGGATGTTTGTATGTAACCGTATATGGCTTCAGTGACGATTATAAAGAACGAAATAAAATGTTATTTTACAATACACAATCTTTCTCTTATTTGATACCCTTAATAACTACTTATGTATACTAATATTGGAAAGGTTAAGATTTCTATTTTTGTATATATTGAAGTAACTCAAAAACTACTGGGCCACTTTTAAAAATTCTTTCACCCTTATAAAGGTAATTTATCTGTGAGTAGGCTGATTTTTTACTATTTTTAAAATCACGAGGGCGAAGTCGTTTATTTATATAATTACTAGCTTTTTTTTCCGATTTTTTCCATGTGAATTAATAAAAAATATGCCCTAAGTTATTTAGCGATAACGTAGCTTTCTAATGGTGAAAGAATTTTTGAAATCAGTCAAATAGCTTTTGAGTTATTTCAATACATAATATAAATACAAATCTTTCCTATTTGTAATACTAGTATAGATTGATTATTTCACGTATAAGAAGTTAAATAAATTATATCTAAATGATTCTGCAGAAGGAAAACAATAGATTTTAAAATATAATTTATGGATATTTTTATTCAACGACCTGTAGGTAAAAATTGATAGAGTTAAAAAAAGTGGTCAAAATTACTGTTATTTTTCTAAGTATAAATATGTATCAAGTTAAAAAGAATACATAGAATAGCACAACTTAAGTCGCGACGGGGCGCTAAATAAAATTCTACTTAACTCGTTTCCCGACGCTACCCGCTGGACTGTCGTCGACTTAATAGCATTGGCGCCTCTGAGCTAATTTAACTGTATAGTAGAACGCCTTACTCTACTTATGACGTAAGCAGTTTTTGGCACATAGAGCAACTCAACGTATAGTTCAGAACGTAAAAATCCTTTTAAGAATATACTTAATGTTTTTTTTACGCAATGATATGTTGTTCGTAGTAGGAAGCAAGTACACTTTAATAAACGAAACAAAGAAATAACTCTTACTTTAGGAGTAAAAAGTGAAGTCGTATTTAGCAACAGGTTACATCTAACATGTACTAAATCAAGGTTCTCATTTAGAAAGGTTTTCGTATGAAAGTCAGGTAGAGTTTGTAATTAAAGACCTGTTCTTTCAAAAGCAATTAATAAGAGATAGAATTATTTTTAACTTTTTTCTTCATTCATTACAATCCTTTCATCATAAGAAACCTCCGATACAGCCCAGCTTGTAATTAAAGCAGTTATGAAAATTTTTCATTAAAACCTGAACAAACGAAGTTCGTTAACCCGCGGCAATTCGCTAAGCCCGAAAGCCATTTTCTTCGCTTTTGTGAAACTTTAAAAATTTTTCCAATAGGTATTCCGTAGCTAGAAAAATTGCAATTTCTCTCTGTACATAAATAGCCCGCGGGAGGCGGCGCGACAAAGTGGCAATATTCTATCTCGACGGGGATTCTCAAACAAGGGGACACGAGAGGGACATCAAT